TATGTTATTGTGTTTAAGGATGCAGTTGAGATTCATGAACAGTAGATGTCAGGGTTGTTCCACATATAAGGCCCTTTTTTAAAAAAAAGAACAAATCATGTTTTAAAAATCTAAATCTTTATAACTGATGTCTCTGAGTTTTTAGGTAGAATTTAAACATTGCCTATACAATTAGCTTATTTAAAATGTAAACATTGTAGGAATCTGCAGTTAGGAAATTTGCACCTTTTTGAATTGAGAGAATCTTTATTAGAAGTCAGCACTTAGAATTTGGGACTGGAAGGGACCTTTGAGATCTTCTAGTCCAACCCTATGACCAAGGCAAGAGACTTTATAGCATCCTGGACAAATGAATGTCCAGTTTTTTTTCTTGAAAACCTCTATAAATGGAGCATCCAAAGCATCTGGAGTGAAGCCATGCCTGATTAATTGTTCTCACTGTTGAAAAGTTTCTCCTTAATTCTAGGTTAGATCACTCTTTAACTCAATCAAACTTAACCCAGCTTGAAAGCTAAGTAAGGCAGATTTTAAAAATACTTGGATTAAAAGCCATCAGGAGAAGAGTAGGAGTGGGGATGGGGGTTCAAGTTCTGGTCACTTTATTCACACATTTATCTTTCAGCTAAAAGCTAGTAAGAAGCTCAACAAATCTATACCTATCTTTAGACGTAAGATGGCATTTTGGATACATTGTAAAACAACAGGTGTGCTTCTATATACTTATTTTGAATAGTTTCAAGAATATTAAGCTTTGAAAAAGAGCAAATTTGGGAGCTATAGAGTAGATGAATACCTTACCTTGGAAAATCTTGCAATCTGCAGAGTTATAATGGTCTCTGTCTAAGTAAGTAAAAGTTACAATATCTGAGGAAGTACTATGTGCATAACTTTCCCAATGAAATAAATGACAGAGAAACATGGAATTGAACTCCAAGACATTTAAAAGTATACACCAGCTTCATTTACCATCTGTGAACATTATGAAAGTGTAGAGAAAGCTGGAAGGGCTGCTAGAGTCCGAATACCCGATTTCTATAGGTAACCCGGCTCGTCCGCACTACAGTCAATCACCAGGTGTCTCAATATCCTATCGTTCTGGACATCCACCGGCCCAGCTCAGGTCACCTCCAATGTCCACTGAAGTATCTTGCCTCCCTCTGGTCACTGGCTTGCCCACTCGCCTTGGTCACCTCGCCTCCACCTTCTCCACCTCTTCTTCCCTCAACGGAAGCTCCAGGGCTATTCTCACTAAAAATTCTAAATTTCTAACCTTGTCTGAGATAAAATGTCCCCTTCACCTTTTGGGATTCCAGTCAACTCTCCTCTCAAAAATCTTCCCCCCCAAAACCTGACAGAATAATTCTATGAGGGTAACTTGGAGTGATCTAAATTTAATGACTTAATCAGAGTTAGTTGGAATATTAATGGTCCGAAAGTGAACTTTTAAAAAAATGACTCTTAAGAGGAAGTTTTAAAAAATGATCTATTAGAGTGTTTTGATTTTAGAAATGTTTTTAAAGAAACGCTTAGTGTTTTACAATGGATGGGGGGGGGGAGTATTTTTCCCTTTATGGCTAAAGAATTTGAAAGAATACAGTGAATCTTGTTAATGTAACTAGCGATAATTCATAAAGAGTATTAAGTTCAACAAGAAATATAGAAATTATTTTCACAGCAAGGAAGATGAAGCAGAAATTGTTAAATTGATTGTTCTATTGAAAGAGAAGAATATATTTGATTATGTTTTTTATTTGGCTATCACTCCCGGATGTTGTGCTTGTGATGAAAACAAAATGTAACTTTGACTTTGGTTATGCTGATTAGACAGATTTGTTGTTATAGAAATGGCTACTTTGTATAGTAATGTCTAAAACTAAAAAGACTGTAATGTGGTTATCATGTACTGTGCTAAAAAGGTTCTGAAGTCAATGCCTTTTTCTTTCTTCCCTTGTACCTCATCTTTTCTCCCCCCTCTTTGTTCTTCTCTTAATTTCCTATTTTAATTTTTCTTTGTATTTCATATATTGATAAAACAATAAAGGTAAAAAAAAACTTGACAGTTTCCCTTTCTCTCCTTTTTCCTGCCTCTTCCTCCCTCATCTCTCTCCTCAAAAATCTTCCCGCCAAAACCTGACAGAAATCCCACCCTTTCCCTGCCTTTTCTTCCCTCAGCCAAAACACAAGGGCTCCCCCTCTTCATCACATTAGGCAAACATTAAAACTTTGGTTTTCTGACAGTTTATTGATAGCTTTTGTTCTAAGCAGAATAAAGCCAGTGCCCTAACCTTCCAATCCAGGAGGTCACCATGAGAGGGAATGTGATTATGTGATTACATCAGAATCCCCATTAAAGGTGTCACAGAAGTGAACTTCCCATTTTCCTGCAGATAGTTGGGGTGTTAGGGCCACAGGATCAATCTTTCAGGCACCAATTGATTATATGCTAAAACCAAAGGGAGTTCAAATGTTTTGCTCCTGAATTTAAATTCTTCCAATTCTTTCTTGCAGCCTGACTTTTCTTTATCTTCAAAAGGTCTTTATATTTTTTCCGAGAACATTGGGTAATTGGGAAGCCCTCGAGGGATTTTCATGATAAAAGGAAGTTATTGCAAGATGCTTTTTAGAAGGAGGAGAAGAAGGAGAGGGGGGGGGAGGAAGAGGAGGTTGTGGTGGTGGTGGTGGTGGTAGTGGTACCAGTAGAAGTAGCAGTCCAGGAAAATAGCACTTCTGGACTGCTCCATGAAATGTGTAAAGTTGTATCCAGGAGTTGACCTCTTTTTAACATCTTTTGCTAGATAAATGCATTGTTTCTCTTTGAAGAAAATGTAGCATTGAAACAGGCAGGGAGTTTGGGAGGGGGGAGGGGAATTGTAACAGTGAAGGCACTTTGGAAACCTGAACTTTCCTGTAACTAAAATGAACCTTGGAGAATCTGGTTCCAGGCTGGCCTGGTTCTTTTTAGTCCTCATGGTTCATAAACCTACCAAAGGGGACAGATCACAGACATTTGCATCTTAACAAGAAAGACATGGTCATGTTTATTTTTATAAGCAAAGTTTTACATAACATTTTAAATAGAGGTATTATTCCAAATGCATATTTTACATAATAACATAATATTTTAAATCACAATTTAACTAGACACAAAAGTGTTTGTGCAAAGGAAAAAAATTGCAGATTGCCTCTGCAGCCTCCATTGCTTTTCAT